GGTTATAATTTTGGAGAAAGTCTCATCAACATTTCCACTAAGAGGCAAAAAAAAAAAAAATAGTTTGATAAAGGAAAAGCCTCTCAGACTCTGAGCCCAACAGCAACAAACTATTTTTTGTAGACAATTTAATTTCACATAATTATCACGGTAGAAGCCATTTGTTTGTTAAATACTTAATGAAACATATTTACCGTGTTTGATGTTTGTTGTAATTAACCTATACTCACAGACTAACTTGATAATTAGTCCAAGTTTGTGTTTTATTGAACGTTCAGAAACTACAGCGGCTGTGAAGAGCCAAGACAAAGGTAAAACAACCTGAACAGGTGATCAACTCAAAACCACTCGCACCTTTTTATTCTCCGTCTCCCTCTGTCATTTAAGCATACCCGTTGCCATGGCAACCTCCTGCGCTCCACAAGCCGACCAGAGATTACGTTAAAAACATAACATTCAGTCCATTACGATATCAGGTTTTCAGGCTTGATATTTATTTTGCGATCATTAATAAGCCCTTCATGAACACAGCGGTGGTTGATTAGTTAATTTTAAACTCCTGCTCTAGTTATTTTGGTAATGGAACCAAAATGCACAGAATTGCGCAACACCTTGTTGAAACAATAATTACTGAGATTAATATTGTTGTTGGGTCATTAATTTGAACACGTTTTGTTGATTTTGTTGTTGTTGTTCTTTAATAATGTTACGAACGTTTTAAGCGAGTCAGAGGAGGACGTGCTGATCTCAGCGTCCTGGCGGCGTTCAGTTTGTCACCTAATGCCGAGATCGGCTTAAAACCTTCTGCGACCGACATATTGCAGCCCTGCTCTAGTAAAGCACGAAGAGTTCAGAAACAATATGAAATAGGAAAAAAGTGATTTATTAACTGATTAAGTCGTATTTTAGATTGTTATTGAAAAACTAATCAGTCACGGCTGATTAGTGGGTGCAGTCAAGGCTGCTCAGTGAACCCATTGATTTTTTTACAGCCGCTCCCCTCTCTTTCAGGTACTGCATACCCCCGCTAAATCTTTTAGGGGTACGCAGTACCCGATCGTACCCCGCTAAGTTTTCTGGCTGGAGCTGTTGTACTTCATTTATTTTTATTAAATATGAGCAGTTTCTTTGATATGAATGACATGTACTGAAGGTTGGAAAATACTAGTTAAAAATGGCTGCACAATAAGGAGGACCTGGGTTCAAATCCCAGCCTGGAGTCTTTCTGCATATGGTTGTGTGCATGAATGTTTGTCCTGTGTCTCTGTGATGGACCTGTCCCACATCTTGTCCAATAACCACTGGAGATGGGCACCGGGGAGTATAAATGATGGACAGTTGAAAATGTTGATTTATATTTTGTATAAACATAAAATCTGCTGGAATTGAAAATGAGAATTTGTAGGTAAAGCATCTAAAATATCACTGTTAGTACAGACATCATAATGCTGCAGACACCTTGGTGGTTAAAGCAGGACTGGTTTAACACATTTGAACTAATGCTGCACCATTATGTAGAGGCTGCATGAGAGCCACTTAGAATAGTGATCTAAATACAGTGCATAATGTGGAGAGAGCATTACAGGATAGACTATTATTATTATGTAATGCTGATACTGTAAAAATGTTTTTCATGCAGGCTCTTGACTTTTGGACTTATAAAATGGACAAGAATCTCAACATCTGAGATTGATACAAAGCTGCCTTTGTAGCGTATTGAGGAGCCCTGCTTGTTCTCACAGATATGGCTCCAGTTCAAATCAGGGGTCATATGATTATGGCTGAATCATTAATTGTTCCTCTGATAAGGCTTGGAACCAAACAACCCAAACAAAGTATAATGTAGAGTGTGTTTGTGTGCAGGTATTGATGGAGGACCGCAGGACAAACCGCCTGGTGGAGAGCATGAACATCTTCGAGACCATCGTCAATAACAAGCTTTTCCTCAATGTCTCCATCATCCTGTTTCTCAACAAAACGGACCTGCTGGTGGAGAAGATCCGCACCGTGGACATCCGCAAGAACTTCCCTGAGTTCAGAGGAGACCCCCGCCTGCTGGATAATGTACAGGTGACTAATCAGAAACAGGCTTTTGTCTGCTACAAAAGCAGTTTGTGAATGTTCATGATCATGCTTTGTTTCAAGTTTTGCCTCTGCCAATATTCCTTCATGATTTGTTTTGGCTGTAAGAAAGGAAAACAGAAGAAGAGGAGAGGAGAGGAGAGGAGAGGAGAGGAGAGGAGACTCCAAAGACCAACTATAACTTGGTTGTGTTAACAACATCTTTAAGTTCTGGTTGTTTGTGGCTTGTGTAAAAAATACATACCTCTAAAACTTTTCAACATTTGTCACATTATGACCACCAATCTCATTTTACAGTAACACAACTAGAGAATAATTCTGGAGTGGAATTCTGATAATTTTATGTGATGATTTCACATAAGTGTTGTGCATTGTGTCTCCACCAGACCAGATTTACTTCTTAACAGACAGAGAGTGTTTACTCAAATAGACCATTTATTTTAGGTTTTTTAACAGTTTATCGTAGTTTTTAAGCAATAACGGTAAAAGTTCATGGCAAACCTGATATTGCTTTCTTAGGCATTTTTCTTGCTTCAAAGTACAGTCCCTCTTAAAAAGTAGAGCTTAAAACGTCTTTTCATGTTACAACCAGAAAGTTGCCAGTAAAAGACCCACATACAGCTGAAACCAGAAGTTTACACACACGAGATAAAATGACACACACCTTTTTTAAACTACATCCATAGGTAATTAACTCAAATGTTGAGTTAATTAGGTTGCTTTGGCAACCTGTCAGAAGTTGCCAAACTCAAGACATGATCATCTGGACTTTACCTCATTGTTTCAAGAGATCGTTATTCTGTAGACATTAACAAATAAATCTCTGGCATATTATTGCTGTCACTGTTGTTTCATTTAGCAAATAAAAATCATTTTGGTGATTCCAGCTAACCCAACGCAAGAGACGTTTGGTCTGATTTAACTTCAAACAGTGATAAAGAAAGCTGCCTTTGTAGCGTATTGAGGGAGGAGATGTTTCTTTATTTGGTGTATGTACACTTCTGGTTTCAACCCTAACTTCTTACTGGAAGGAAAGAGATCCATGGTTTTCAAATTTTCTGTACATTTTACAAAAGATGTGGCATACATTTGCATCAAGCTCTTTGATTCAGCACTCATCAATGCAATTTGTTCTTTTATAAATAATTTATACTCAGTTGATTTGATGGAAAACATCTCTGAATGACAATTTTTAGTAAATCATAGTAAAACTCAAGTTAAATTATTTGGTCAAATCCTTCACACTAAAAATCCAGATTTGATACTTGGTGCTTTAGCTCAGTTTTGTCGGACTTCAGCCAGGAATCTTGGTTTTATCTTTCATAGCTGTTTAAAATTTGACCAATAAGTTAGTTCTGTTGTTAAATCCAGCTTTTATCACTTACAGATTTTAGCAAAGGTGAAATCTTTTTTTTTTTTTTTTAAAGGATTTTGAAGGAATTATCTATGCCTTCATTAAATCTCAATTGGATTATTATAATTCATCATATAAAAGTATGGATAAATCCCAGATGCAGCATCTTCAAGTGATAAAGAATGCAGCAGCTCGGCTTCTTACAGGTATCCGGAAGTGTGACCATATGGGGCCCATACTAGCCTCCTGTAGGCTGCCTGTTTCATACTGAATAGATTTTAAGATTCTTTTAACAACTTATAAAATTTTTAATGGGTTAGCTTCTCCTTATCTTCAGGATCTTTTGAAATTTTATTCTGTGTCAAGAACTTTAAGATCAAATAATCAGCTGCTACTGAAAGTCCGTGGACTCGACTCAAGAGAAAAGGAGATCGGGCTTTCTCTGTTGCTGCTCCTAATCTCTGGAATAATCTACCTTTCCAGATTAGATCTGCCCACAGCCTGGATCATTTTAAATCGCTTCTTAAACTCATTTATATGCTTTGGCATTCAGTTGAGGCCTGATACAGTTGAGAAGAAGAAGAAGAAGTTGAGGCCTTCTTCTTCTTCTTCTTCTTCTTCTTCTTCTTCTTCTTATTCTTATTCTTATTCTTATTCTTATTCTTACTTACTCTTATTATTTTAACAATATAGAGATTTTTTTTCTTGTATTATTTCTCTTTTTCTTTTCATCAACTTACTCTATTATCGTTTTGTACAGCACTTTGATGCAGTATTACACCTGTTTTTAAAGTGCTATATAAATAAATTTAACACTGACATTGACAATTTTGAGACTTGCAACAGATTTTCAATCAAATTTATTTTTGTACTTTGGCTGGGCCTTTTTAACAGATGAATATACTTTGATCCAAACTATTCCATCACACTTCTGAAGGTTTCTCTGGAGTCTTTGGTTGTTGGAAGTTAAATCTTTTTCAGCCTATCAGGTCTTCTTCTCGCATCAGCTCTAACCAGCTTCTTTGCTCCTGTTGCAGGAATTCCTTCTCAGCATGATGCTGCCACCACTGTGTGTTTATGGTGTGTCTATGGTGATGTGAAGTGCTGAGATTAAATTTCACAAGAGAACTTATCTTTTTTATCATTTAGGTGGCTTTTGCAACATTTTGTAGATTACAGAATAGAATAGAATTGAATAAAAAATAAAATATCTAAACAATTTGTAAACTAAGTATGCATTACATAGTTTTGGTGGATCATTTTTAGTTTATGGTTAGAACTGTAGAACAGTTGAAGGTGTAGAAATACTTTAATTAGGAACTTGCCACACTAACTCACACTTCCTGTTCCTGCCCTGCTTCCTCCAGGAGTTCCTGGTCCAGTCGTTCAGTCGGAAGAGGAGAAACCGGGGGAAGCCGCTGTTCCACCACTTCACCACTGCAGTGGACACAGAAAACATCCGCTTCGTCTTTCACGCCGTCAAGGACACAATTTTGCAGGAGAACCTCAAAGACATCATGCTGCAATGACTTTCACGCTTCTGTGACTGCAACTGTGAAACCCGCCACCATTCCAAGCATAAAGGACTTTGCTCTGACACTGATGAACCTATACAGACACTGACATATGGAAGCAGAGTGGATCTGACTGATATTTGAACCTGTGGATTCCAGCAGTTGTACATGTATGTTGACCACTGCTTTGAACCTCTGTAAATGTGCAACTGAGCTGAAAGGTGGGAAACACCAAATACACCTGTGTTAGCAATGAGATGACTGATGACAGCGTTGTCACTAAACCGAGTCAGAGCACTGCCTACTGGAAGCAGCATGAGCCAGATGGAAAAGGCCTCCACCTCCAGTACATGTGACCAGAGTGGAGGGTCTGACTGGTCATATGCTGCATTAGGGATAATGTTGCACAAGTGTTCCTGTCAGTGAACTTTAGCAGAGAGAAGAAGCGAGAGACCCTCTTGTGCTCCATATCTCCCTGTATTTTGCTCCCATCGTCACACGAGAGAGAACAGCTGCAGAGAAGTCTTATTCTTCTAATCTCCTCTCTCATCTCCTATCTTCAGCAGTACAATGGACAGACTGTTCGTCTCGTCCCTCACCAGCACAAATTGTAGGCAGACTAATTAGAGAGCCATCTTTGATGAAAAAAATACACAACTCCTGAGTTACACTCCACTTATGATTTGTCTCTGTCTTCTTTAAATACCCCACAAACACCGCAGACTTCACTCGGGGCAGGTTTGAAGTATTTACTGGATATATTTTGGTTTTTTTCTTTATTGTATATAGGAAAATTTACGTAAATTTTTTTTAAGTAAATATGAAGGGAACAGTGGAAAACATCTAGGCTGAACTGCACCTGACCTATTTCCCAAGCTACTTCTTGAGATTTCAGACTTGTGTTGCAGTTTGAAAGACATGAACAGGCTTAAACAATATCCAGGAACCTGAGCAATTGCTAGACAAAAGTCACTGTTTACACATATTTGGCAATACAGATTATTTAAAACCCCCTCTACATTTATTGATGCTAATGATAAAGATGTGCTAGAACACATAAACTTTTTTTCACACTAAAAAGTAAGCACAATTCAACTTTTAAATTATTTGCTTTTATTAAAAATCAATTTTCTGAAGGGAAATCAGAAAAAAATTTGAAAAAAAAATCAGAAAAAAAAATCCCCATCCCGTAAGGTATGGTGTTTTTTTTTTCTTTTTTTTTTTTGGAATGACTCTATTCAAAAGCAGAAAATTAGATCGACCAGAGTTTTTTGTCTTCAAGAGACTTTCTTTATTGAATACATCAGCATATCGTCAGCAAAACGATTGAATTGGTTCCCATGATGCCCAATAATTTTACCAAGAAGAGGCATATCTTTACAGACAAAAGAACTGGCCCCAGCACCACGCCCTGTAGTACTCAACAGTTAACTCAAAGGTATGAGGAAGATTTATAAATAAATGATGCAACTTCAGCATGATTAATCTCTTTTCATGCATTTTATACATCTTTACCAATGGTACCAATAAAAGTAGAGGGCGCTGTATTTATTTTTCTGAATATTTTCTTCTCCTTATGCTCAAAATGGCACAGACCATTAGCTCAAGGAAATTAGATAGCAATTTTAAATAGACTAGTGAGGTCATTCATAGAAAATCAAACAAAAAACTGCATAAATTCCTATTAAAAAAGCTCCACATATCTAAGCTGATTGCTACCATTTTATAAATAAATTATTTTAGCTATTTAAATATTAGAGGCCCTTGCTTGCAACATTTTAAAGCACTGTGCATTAAAATATTTTTAGGATGGAGCAGAGGAAACAGGTGCTGCACTAAAGCAGTCTGATTAAACTAATTGAATGTTTTATTGAAGAAAAACACTCAAATTCCAGCAAGATGGTTCATGCAACAGAGACTTTAGCAGCTTCAGAAGCCAATGTTGATGGAAATGGAAAATCTAAAAGTAACAAAGTCATTTCCACCAGAACAACACAGTATCCCTGATTAACTCTTGTCAAATTTGTTGGGATGGAAAAAAAGTTCTCACCCAAAATGCTTTGAGCAGCTGAAGGCTTGATGCTCTTAATTTTGTGTCAGCAGTAATTCAAATAAATTATTCAATCTTCTGCATGTTGAGTTGCATCAATCATGAGGAGGGTAACATCAAAGTGCATAAAAATGGCTGTTCAGGTTGTGAAGAATGCACTCAAGACCAAAATGTAAATAAATTTAAATAAATAAATGCGTTACTGTTTGTCAGGTTGGCCAGAGACACTCAACTACTGTATGCCTTCGTAAATTAAAGTGGAGGAATTTTTAAAATTTTTTGACATGACTGAGTTGTATTTTGGTACGGCAGAAACGAGGACCCCAGCCGGCTGCTTTTCTCACTCACAGTGTTTCCTCTGCTTGGCCAAGAGGTGGAAAAACACGTCACTCACTGCACCACACACGCCTTAATTATAATACTGTGTTAGTTGGTTTTCAAAGTGAGCGTGGTTTTTTTTTCCTTTCATACACTGATACTGTAAATTTCTGACTGTCACTGTGTGTCAGTCAGAAATTTACTCCAATGATCTCCCAATTTTTTACATTTTCCTTCCAAGGGGCCAAATGTTGTAGTTTTTTAAAGCACTCAGCAGTTTTTCTTTGACTATGAATCTTTTTATGTAGATATGTCTTTGAGTCTCAGTCCAATTCTACATTCATTATAACAATATTAATGTGTAGGCCTGAAAACATATGTTTACAGTGAAGCAAACCCATCACATTTGATCATATGACATTTATTACATTTAATTTAAATAAAACAAAACCAATAATCTGTTTTTGTAAAGGAGATGATGAATTGAGAATGAAAACAGTGTATGCAATAAATACAAGAATGTAAATTAGCTAAATCAGCCATAATTAGACAAAGACTTTGACAGCTAGATAGCAGCAAAATGTTTCAATTGCGGTATTTGTTGTACACAGAATACACATCAACTGGCGTTCAATGGATAAATGTGCTGAGAGGTACCAATGCATGCCTGGGGCTAACAGTACCATGCTTTATATAGCAGCTCCAGTATCATTCTCAGTTCAGATCTTAGGCACTTTCAGAGGAGCGATTATTGATTCAGCCTCTTACAGTGTTTGCAGAGGTGTTTGCTGAAGACCTGGCATACAGTGGACATTTAGATGAAAGATGATCCATTTTGTGGGTTGCTGGGATTTTTGATTTTCAGGTATGACCAAGGGTGAAAGTAGGGGGGTAAGGCAGGGTACTCCATAGCCCTAAAAGATTTAACGGGGGTACGCAGTACCTGCAAGAGAGGGGAGCGGCTGTCTGCTGTAGAAAATCAGTGGGTTCACTGTGCAGCCGTGACTGATTAGTTTTTCAAGAACAATCCAAAACACGACTTAATCAGTTAATAAATAGCTCCCCCCACCCCGCTCCCCTATTTCATATTGTTTCTGAACTGTTCTTTGCTAGAGCAGGGCTGCAATACGTCGGTCGCGGAAGGTTTTGAACCGATCTCGGCGGTAGGTGAAGAAACTGAACGCCGCCAGAACGCTGAGACCAGCACGTCCTCCTCTGACTCCTTATCAAAACGTTCATAACTTTATTAAAGAACAACAACAACAAAAAGCCAACAAAACGTGTTCAAGTTAATGACCCAACAACAATAATAATCTGTGATTATTGTTTCAACAAGGTGTTGCGCAATTCTGTGCGTTTCGGGTCCATTACCAAAATAACTAGCAGAGCAGGAGTTTAAAATGAACTAATCAACCACCGCTGTGTTCATGAGAGGCTTATTAATAATCGCAAAATAAATATCAAGCCTGGAAACCTTATATCTTAATGGACTGAACGTAATCAGTACTCGGCTCGAGGAGCGCAGGCGGTTGCCACGGCAACGGGTGTGCTTAGAGAGACGGAGAATAAAAAGGTGCGAGTGGTTTAGAGTTGATCTCCTATTCAGTTATTTTACCTTTGTTTACCTTTGTTGTGACGCGTCACAACCGCTGTAGTTTCTGAACGTTCAATAAATGACAAACTTGGACTAATTACCTCTTTCTTTGTGAGTATTGTCATTCTCAACAAACATCATACACGGTAAATATGTTTCATTAAGTATTTAACAAACAAATGGCTTCTACCGTGATAATTATGTGAAATTAAATTGTCTAATTCAAAATAATAGTTTTATTGCTCCCTGGCATCTCGCTTTGAGCTCAGAGTCTGAGACATTTTTCCTCTATCAAAATTTTTTTTGCCTCTTATTTAGTAGAAATATTGATGTTGATGATACTTTCTCCAAAATAATAACCTTTTTCAATCTTTATAGCTCCACTGTTGAAAATGAGGCTCTAACATTCACAAATGACAGTGAAATAAAATCCAGTCCAACATCTGGTTTGAGGTGATTCCTCTGGAACCTGTTGGAGGAAAAATATCCCAACTTCAGAAGATGAGCTTTAACCTAACAGAGCTCTGTGGTTCCTCCTATCAGTATGAGAGTCAGGGTAAGGAGGCGCCATGTTAGGAAGACGAAGTGGAAGCTGCAGGATCTTCAGAACAAACAGGTCATGATGCTGGTCTGCTGATTATCCCTCTGTCTGGACACAGGATCAATATAACCAGTTTAAAAGCTAAAATGAATGGTTATATGCCAGACATGGAAAACTGGGATGCCCTCCATGCCATGATGTTCAGAATTTAGGTCTCCTGGCATCTCAAGGTTCAACATTGCAGCCAGTGGGCTGAAGGAGGAAATACAGCTTTATATTGTAGCAATTCAAGAGCTACCCAGCTTTTATCACTTCGCAAAAAAATTTATCAGCACAGAAATTCTAAAGCACACAAAGAATCAATATATATAAATATATGCTTTTGTCATAGTACCCCCAAGAATTTAAAACTACTTTCACCCCTGGGTATGACTGTAACTGGTATAAAGTTTACTAACCCTCCTTCTCTCACACTTGTTCTGATTTTTCCTGAGTGAGTGCTGTTGGATGTTCAGGAGGAAAACGTCAAAATGAAGTAAAAAGGCAAGAAAAAACAAGAAAAATCACAAGATTCCTTCAATGTTTATGTTTCTATATTTTGTTTTTTCTTTGTTCTGATGCCTTTCCTTTGTGCTCTGTGGTGAAATAAACTGCCTTTTGCTGACAGGCTGTTTCTTTATTTTGTCAGTGGAGAAGTTGGAAAACTAATGACTAGAATGGGGAAAAAAAAGCTGTTCCTTCGTTGATGCTTTTCTCATTTCCAGGAGTGGATCGAATCAGGATCTATATGAACACAGGGAGCTTTCATGCAAAGCTCCGGATAAGTAATGTCAGACCGACTGTAGGCCTTATTCTACATAATGTAATACAACGCTCATAAGCCACAGCTATAAGGCCGCTGGGCAGAATAGCAGAACTGGAGTCGGGCAATATCTGAGTTACCCAGCAGTCTGACCTTTGCTTTGGCTGTTAATCAGACCAGCTTTGCTGCACTACAGGCCCCAGTCTCAGGAGACAGGGAGGGGATCCAGAAACAGCCATACCACAACTTTTTCTCTGTTGTTTTAGAAATCACCCATCATCTTGGATTTATTTACACAGGAAGTGAGTCGAATGTAAATGAAGGTCAATAAAATACATGCACAGCGGACAAACTCATGAGAAACTGAGATCTCTGGCAGCAGAAAGAAAGGAGAAGAAAAATCAGGACCTAATGAATGGCACACACTGGGGGAGGGATGGACAAAGGGAGGAATAGGGAACACAAGAAAAAGTAAAAGGAGGGACGGGGGACATTCTGTTTCCTCTGAGCGCACTTCCCGTTTCTATCCCAAAATGGTGCAACTGTAAGAGCGACATCTCTGAGCCTGTTTCTCTGATATTATAAT